AGCTACTGGGATTCAAACATTTGGAACCAGGAAGTGAAGGGAAGGAAAATGAGGCTGAGGCACGGTAAGATGCCCCTCAAAGTTTGACCTTTAACACAGAGAGGAAAAATCCATGGTTTGGCGGAGCTCGGTGTTTGGAACCGTGATATGGAGTAGACTGCGTTTGAACTGCTTGAGTTGGGAGACATTTTGAGCAGGAAATGAAAGACCCTCTCACAGGCCGGCTTGTAATCCAGGGAGCAAATGGGATTTTGTCTAAGTGATGTGTAAGTGAGGAATTAGTACTGCAACTTACGTATTCCCCTTAAAGACAGATTATATACGAGGAAACGAAACTATGTATCTCCCCTAAAGACAGATTATGTATGATATCAGAAAATAGAAACCCTGATAGTTTGGCTCAAATAGGCCATTAGAGACACTTGGTTCTCATCGGTTGAGGTCTTCATGAGCATCAGGTATTTCGAGATATTTAATTACACTGTGTAAGATATGTCACTGTGATTGTTTTAATAAAAAGCTAAATGGCCAATAGCTAGGGAGGAGGTATAGCAGGGACTTGTGGATAGAGGGAGCTCTGGGAAGAAGAAAGGCAGAGTGGCTAGCCAGATGCAGAGGGAGCAAGACATGCAGGAGGAGAGGTAAAAGCCACAAGTGACATGGCAACACGTAGATGATTAGAAATGAGTTAATGTAAGTTATAAGAGCTAATGGAACAAGCCTAAGCTATAGGTCAAACTTTTATAATTAATAATAAGTATGTCATTTTTTGTGAGCTGGTGGCCCAAAGAAAATCTGCCTACAGTCAGGGACTGGAAGACAGTAGAGAGGGGACAGGCATTACAAAGGGAATAGAGAATGGGAGACATGATGTTTGATGCCCAACTCACTGGGTCTGAAGGAACTATCTTCAGACTGGTAAAGTCCTGGACTATCTTGGACTGGTAAAGCACCTTAAACTATCTTGGACTGGTAAAGCACCTTAATGGCCTTTTTGCACCCCAGGGTAGAGCATGACCTCTATGAAGGAGATGCTGAGTGGATTTGAGTGACGGAGACCAGCATGTAAACCAACTGACAGAGCGCTAAAGCAATGAGCAAATGAAGAGGAAAGCAGACTAAAGGGTCTTATCCGGGTTGTTCAAAGTCAAATATGACAAGATGTATTTTGAGCTGGAATTTTTTGTTTGGATTTTCAGACAGGTTCTCTCTATGTAGTTCTGGAACTCACTTTGTAGACCAGGCAGACCTTGAACTCACAGAGAGCTGCCTGCCTCTGCCTCCTGAGTGCTGGGATTAAAGGTGTGTGCTGCCATGCCTGTCAAGCTGGACTTCTTGGGGTGAGGGCAGAGATACAAATGTTATGGTAGTAAGCATCTATAAGGCTTCACTGTGAGAACAATTCACCAACAGCGTAAATGATAAAAAGGGTGCATTAAGAAGAGCCAATGTGGGGCTGGAGAGATGGCTCAGAGGTTAAGAGCTCCGACTGCTCTTCCAGAGGTCCTGAGTTCAATTCCCAGCAACCACATGGTGGCTCACAATCATCCGTTATGAGATCTGGTTCCCTCTTCTGGTGTGCAGATATTCATGGAAACAGAATGTTGTATACATGATAAATAAATACAATCTTTTTTTAAAAAAAAGAAGAAGAGCCAATGCGCCGGGCTTTGGTGGCGCATACCTTTAATCCCAGCACTCGGGAGGCAGAGGCAGGAGGATCTCTTTGAGTTCGAGCCCAGCCTGGTCTCCAGAGCGAGTACCAGGATAGGCTCTAAAGCCACAGAGAAACCCTGTCTCGGAAAACAAAAACAAAAACAAAACAAAACAAAAAAACCCACTGCTATCCATTCCAGACATACATGACAAAGAATAAGCTGTCTCATTGGTGGCCCGTTACCCTTGAGGACGATAATCCTCAGATCCAGCTGGGAGTGGGGAAGCATGTATGCTGAGGTAGACATTATTTAGCTAGCTTGAGGCCCTCTCGGCAGTCGGGGGGGGGGGGGGGGGGGGGGGGGGGGGCTGAGGGAGGCAGTAGCTACAGGTGCAGTGCCAGCCCAGAGTGTGTCGGATCCCTCAGCAAGTGTAGCCACACCCTCCTACTGCTAAGCAATTTCAGCTGGCTGCGCTGAGGGTGGGGAGATGAAATGTAGCTCATGGCAGTGCCCCAGGATGAGAAGCAAAATGCTTCATAGAAATTATGGATGATAGAGAGCTAAGATAGTGCCTCCCATACATGCCATTGTCCTACTGCCGTTCTGAGACCCGTGATACAAGCAATGCCATCTGTTCATGCTGTATTGGACTTGGCTAACGGTTTTATTCAGCAACCTCCTAACTGCCAACTTCTGAATCCACCCGGCCCTTGCCTGGAATGGTAGCAGCAGCTCTTCATTACACAGATGACAGTACTGGTTTCTGACTGTCTTACAGATTTGTAAAAGCATCTAAACAAACAGGAGCTAAAGGATTTGTGAGATGGCACCCATACTCTACCAGAAGTCACAGGTTTGTTAAATGACAATCCCAGTAGCTGGATAGAGGCTACCACCTCTGAAGCTGGCTGCATATCAAAACTAGATTAGTAAATTCCTACTGTTGAAGACACTGTATGCTTTGGTTATAGTACATAGGGAATTCAAGCCAGGAGGATTGCACTGGAAGGCCCCTCTATGCTCAATTGACATTTTGGTGCTGAGACACTGTGCAGGCTGTCTGTCTTAGAAACCCTGTGAAGAGACACCATGACCATGGCAACTCTTATAAAGGAAAACATTTGAGGTGGCAGCTTACAGTTTCGGAGGTTTAGTCCATTATCATCATCATGGCAGGGAGCATGGTGGCATGGTGGCAGACATGGTGCTGGAGGAGCTGCTACCTGTTGCTATGTAGGCAAAAGGAAGTAGACTGTGACACTGAGCCATAGCTTGAGCATAGGAGACCTCAAAGCCCGCTCTCACGGTGACACACTTCCTCCAACAAGGCCACACCTCCTATAGTTCTACTCCTTATGAGATTGTGGGGGCCAATTGTAACCACACAGGCAGCTGAGGTAGAATGGTTGACAGCAGGCTTACAACTACTGGGTTGTATATACTGTATACTACACTACCAACATGCCAGGTAAGATTGGACTGTTGGAGAGATGATGGCATAACATTAGAGGTACAAGAAACAACCTTCTGACTGGATTTAAAGCCTTCTCCAAAGGACGGAATTCACATCTAGCACCTTAAAGCTGGACAGAAATCTGTGACAAAGGAGGTCATAGGCCCCTGCTCTTTTATTAAATGAATGAAACATACCCATCAAATTGCCTTAGAGTACTGTTACTGTCTGTCCTGATAGTGGGAGGAAACCCCTTACAGTGTGGTATTTACTCGAGACTTATGACTGGTTAAAATGCCAAGAATGACTAACTTGTGGTGGCGTGGTAGCCACTTTGTCTTGTGGGTGGTGATAAGGCTGAGGTGAAGACAGCCTGCTGTCAGTGTGGACTGGTGAAATAATGGTGTAGTATATGCTTTGAGTGACCAATTCATGCTGCCATTTGTCCCACAGGAATACAGACCTGGGATCCTGGAGATTACAGACAGGAAGATCACTGGAGGAAGTTTTGCTTCCCACTGCTCACCTCTTTTGTAAATGTGTATTACTCTCATTGGCTAATAAAGAGCCGACTGGCCAATAGCTAGGCAGAAAAAAGTTAGCCGCGACTTGCAGACAAAAGAGCCTGAGGTAGAAGGCGGAGTTACCAGGAGATGCAGAGAGAAGCAAGATGAACATGCTGTGTTGAAAAATGGTACCACCATGTGGTAGAGTGTAGATAAGAAATATGAGTAAATTTAAGATGTAAGAGCTAATTATCTAGGAGCCTAAGCCATCAGCCAAGCAAGCATTTATAATTAATAAATGTGTAGTTATTTGGGAGCAGCTGGCAGGACAGAGCTGACCTGCAGTCCTGAAGAAAAACTGCCTACACCTCTTCTATTTTATGTGTTGGTACCACATTGGCCTTAAAAACTAGTCAGTCATTGCCAGATCTCAGAGCTGACTTCAGTCCTGAAGAGCTCTATGTAACACCTAGGCAGCATAGGCTATTGGACATGGATCTCACCAGCCTCCCAGAAGATGAAGCATCTTCTAATGGAAAATATCTCACAACTGTTCTTTTATTCACAGGTATGTGTGTGTGTGCATGCTCGCGCGCTCGACAGTGTGTGTGTGTGTGTGTGTGTGTGTGTGTGTGTGTGTGTGCGCGCGCGCATTAGATGTTTATGTGCATCTCTGACAGCTGATGTGTCTCATTAGGGCTTGTCTGTTACCATAGGGGCCTTAAGAGTCCCCAAGCTTCAGTCTGGTGGCTCCTTTCTGGTTGCTTTACCTTGTCCATTTGTCTCAGCTCCTCTCACATTAGAGTAACCAAACTTACATTAAATCCCCTTTGAAAACCACAACTGCTTTGTTGTCTAGCCTGGGCTGTATTTTCTGGGAAAACTTTAATTCACCATGATGAAGTTTGCCCCTCTTATATCTATGAAAAAGTTTATTTTTTTTAATTTATTTATTATGTATACAACATTCTGCTTCCATGTCTATCTGCACACCAGAAGAGGGCACCAGATCTCATTATAGATGGTTGTGAGCCACCATGTGGTTGCTAGGAATTGAACTCAGGACCTCTGGAAGAGCAGTCGGAGCTCTTAACCTCTGAGCCATCTCTCCAGCCCCTATGAAAAAGTTTTAAACAATATACCTGATAATTATATTTACTGTCTCAAGACTTCATCATGTTTGCTGAATCCCTATGTATGTGGATGTCTGTGTGACACACGTACACATACACCTGACCCTATTCATTTTTGGGTGAAGGGTCCTGAGCAGAATCACTGTGTGGTATACATATGAGTGAGTCATATAATAGCTGTAGCCATGAGAAACAAGTGTGACATAAAAAATAATTAACTGAACGGACTAAGAAAAAAACCACAAAACCATCAATAAGCAAAAGTAAACTTTATTATTTCCTTCCTATGTGTTTATTTTAAAATTAACTTTCCATCCTTACACGTTAAGAAAATAGACAACTGGAACCCACTCTCCACTTCTGACACAGGAGAGGCAGAGGCTCTATCAATAGGCACAGAGTACAACACAGCCATTGCTCACTGGGAGGAGGGAAGGAGGGAAAAGCGCTCCGTTTAGCAGTGTGTTGAGGTGGGAGCACTCGGTGGCTCCTAGGGGCTGGTATCATGACTCCTGCAGTATCAGTGTGTCCCAGACCATACCGTGAGCTTTCCTTAGGAAAACCATTTCTCCTCAGATACAACTGTCACAGGGTAAGAGCCATAAGACTTTATTCATTGTTTAACCTTCTGGTGGCAGGATTTCTGAGTAGAATCTACAATTAAAGCGGAACAGAAATTTGTTATAAAACTTCTGCTAAGAATTTAAAATTTTTAATATTTTCAAAATACCACCACCTCAGAGCTTTGGTAAAAATACTTAGTTATAATGAAAACAGAAGGTGAGGTTCAAGAAACTATACATAAATTATATACATACAGACCAAATCGTAATTGGTAATGATTGGGATTTGATGCAAACTGCACAAGGCTTTATTGTTCTTTAACAAGATAACCCCATGTTAGCTTGGGTCTTTCATTCACCCACCATGGCAGATGGCTAGCAAAGACAGCTCGAAGCATCTGCATAGAGATCTCATAGGGCAGCGTAAGGGGAGTGTCTAGGGGTACGCATAGGCTCAGAATTGGTGTGCCTCCAGGCTTGGAGGGCTTGCCCTGTGTTTATTTTTTTTTTTTTTTTTTTTTTAAGACCATGAGTTTTAACGCTCAGTCTTCAGTAGTGACACTTTAAGGAGGTCGTGTGCCATTTAGGATATGAAGCCTTGCTGAAGGAAGTGGTTTATTGGAGGCAGGAAGTGAGATTTTACAGCCTGTCTACACTTCCTGGCCCTTCTCTGCTTCCAAATCTGTACAAACGTGTGAGCAGCCACACATTCCTGCTCCCACCACAAGCTGCTCCAGGCAGCAGGCACACCTGCCATGATGGACTATTTTCTCAAACAGAGAGCCAAAACAAATTGAGTTGCCACTTGTCAAGATTTTTGGTCAGTGATCAATTTTCTAACACAGACACTGGTGCTGGAGAGTGGGGCCCTTGCTGTGATAACCATGGCCGTGTAGTTGGTAAGGCCTTTGGCCAAATTCTTTGCCTCAACAATTTGGAAGAGCAGAATGATGTAAACAGAGCTTAACAGACAAGCCCACTAAGAGCAGCCTGCGGACTTTTGAAACTCTTAGGACCACGGAGACTTTTCAAGTTGGACTTCATTTTGCATTATGAGACGACCATTACCATGAGGTCATGGTTTTGTTACGGTTTCAGTATGAAAAGTCTCCCACAGGACGACGTGTTTAAACGAGTGATTCTCAGTTGATGGTGCTGTTTTGGGAGCCTGTGGAATCTGGACATTGAGCCAGGCTGAAGGAAGTGGGTGCCTGGGCAGGCCTCGAGTATTACAGCCCACCAGCTGCCTGTCCTGGCCCTGCTTCCCGATCAGCCTGGGTCTGAACAGGAAGACTCATTAGCTGCAAGAGCCTTTTCTGCTGCCGTGCCTTCCCGGCCAACTGGATCTTCTAACACTAGATCACAGTGGTGAGACAGTAAGTAATACAGTTATCTTTACATTTCCATCAGTGTAGGAGGACAAAAACACCCAAGTAGTGACTGAACAAAATCCACCCACCACATGGGCATGTGTATTGAGTATATTCACTCAAACTAAAAATTACTAAGCTGACACTAGCAGATTCTTGTTTTGTTTTGAGGCAGCATTATTACCCTGAATAGCCTGTACTCACTGTGTAGACCAGTCTGGTTTCAAGCTGTTGGCAACCCTCCGGCCAAAGCCTATCCAGTGTGGGATCGCTCATGTGTACTCCTGCATCGATTTACTAGCAGTTTTTCCTAGGTTGCTATGTTTCTTAGGTGAAGAACTACAGTTTGTAATGAGTCCATTTTTTACCTGCTGGTAACCCCCCAAGTCTCTGCTGGATCATTTCCAAATGATGGATATATTCTGTCAAGGAATGTTCTGGATCTTGAGAAGCAGTCAGGGATCTTTCTAACCGTGAATTTGGTGATGAAGTTGATCTGCAAACAAAAAGCCACATTAAGGAGAAAAGAAAGGAAAACACAAAACAAAAACCACTAAATTGACAGGCAAGAATGCGCAAGGCAGGGCCTAGGATGAGCTGACCAGATCCAGGATGTGTCTCTGCTAAGGCTAGTCTCTCACCGAGTTATTTACCACAAAGGAAACGTTTTTATTTGCCTAGTATCCAGAGGCTCATGAATGCTAGGCAAGCTCTGCACTGACTGAGCTCTATTCCAGCCCTGTGTAGAACTTAAAAAAAAAAATAATAATAATAATAAAAATCAACTTTTAAGGCCCAGTGTAGTGTCATACCCCTGTAATTCCAGGATTTGGGCAGAACTCCCTGAGTTCAAGGCTAGCTTGGTCTACACAGTCAGTTCTAGGACAGCTAGCGTTACCTAGTGAGATTCTGTCTCAAAATAAAACAAACACCAAAAAAAAAAAGAAACAAAACAAAACAACTTCTATCTATATCACACTTTGCAGTCAGAATAAATGGCAACAATTATGTATTATTTCACTCACCAGATTTTGAAATTATGCCTGTTACCCCAACTGTGTTATGCTTCAGCATCCTTCGCTGGGATGGTCTACCTATCTGCCTACACTTCCTTGAGCAAAACCCACCCTGATTATCCTTCCTCCCAGGGACACTGTGTCCCTTTCCATGACACAAGTTCCCAAACCTCTCCAGGGTGGAGAGCATGCCTCACTTACTGAACACAGGTGATCTTAACCCTTCCTGAATAGAACAAGATGCCCCAGGCTCTTGAAGACTCTCTGCTGCATTTGCTGCCCTGCTCTGAGCCAGGCCAAAGACAGTCCTTTCAAATTACATTTCTCTGGGCAGCCATACAGGGTTCTGGGTATCATCAGCATCATCTCTAGGTAAAAACCCGGAGCATCCCAACTGACCTTTCCACCTTGCCCAGTGGTACTGCTGCCAAGGATCTGAGGCTGTGTCTAGCGTCCTTGGTGTGGCCTGAGGAAACTTCTTTGCTTGGCAGGGATGCTCTGGTTTCTGACAGAGAATGCTGTCTCCGGGACATTCGATGTCCTTCCCAAGAAGGATCAAACAGGAAACCGTTAGGAAAAGAGATTCACATCTCCCCCAGACTTAAGCTTATACAAATAACTTTTACACGGACTTGGATAACGCTGGCCCTGACTGCCAGCACTGCAGGGTCATCCCACAGCTCGGGGGACAGGCATGCCTGCTGACCTGAACTGAAGGCACAGGCAGGATGGCAGCCAGTGGTGGCTTAGTGGCCCCAAGGGTAGAAGGCCTAGGCTCTCCATGTCCTCTAAGAAGGAAGGACATTCATATCTGCCACCCCTAGAGATTAGACAAGACCCAGAAAAGTGTCTTACTGTCACTGGCCCCTTGGGAGTCCATGAAGCCATAGTTATACTACCTACAAGGAGGCAGCAGCAGCAGACAGCTCCAGAGATAGCTAAAATAAGCCCGAGTGCTCACATAGGTAGGTACAGCAGCATAAAGCAGAACTAACTCTGGAGACTCTGGAGAGCAACAGTTTGTTCAACACTCTCCTGAATCATTGCTCGGCTTGCGCTCGTTGACCGACCTAGGTCCGCCATGATGCTCTCTGTGCTCCAGGGTGGCTGCACTGACTATGTTTCCTGCTCTCTTCCTGTACTTTATTACACCCCCCAAACCAAAATGCTCAAGGACATGCCACAAGCAGCAGGAAAAGCAGTGACACTTGAGGCCCACCTTGGCGGGAGCCTTTGCCATGTATTAGTGCTCCTCTCCGATCCACTTCTCGCCATTTCTTAACCAGAAATCGCAACCTATACAGGAAGGCGACAAAACACATTTAAAACAGAGGAAACCGGAGTGAAGAGGAAGCTCCTGATGTGACAGAGCCACCAGAACGTGCCCTCGAGACGGACCCCACAACTGTCTGAGTTGGCTGAGAGCCAGCTGCACTTTCATGTCACATAGGAACTTCCGTGCTACATCGCCATCTAAAGAAGCCTCCCCCACCCCACCAGTTAGGTCTGCCACCCCCACCACAGCTTACCAGCGGCCTATCACTCTACACAAGTCAAGCCTGTGTGCATCACCAGAAACTGGGAACACACACGGCTTCTGCCTGGTGGGGCCATCAACAGGATGGCACTAACAGCATGGGGAAGGCACAGACACGGTGACAGTACGTGAGGGTTTCACACTCCTTTTAGCATGGCTCTCCTGACAAGCGCTGTGACTGTAACTTTCTTCTCTGTGGTGTGGCAAACCATAGATTATTCCAAAAAAGACCACCAGGTCCTGGAAAATGTTTTTCAGGCATTCTGATACTGGGTCTCAAATATAGTTCAGGCTAACCTAGCACTTTTGCCACCCCCCCCTCCGCCTCCTGAGTGCTGGGATGACAGGCCTATGGCACCTTACCCAGGCACAGCATGAATTCGCTTACTTGTGTGTATGTATTTTGCCTGCACATACGTATGAGCACTACACGCATGCCTGATGCCATGGAGGTCAGAAGCAAGCATGGGATCGGTCCCCAGGAACTGGAGTGACAAACAGTTGTGAATGGCCATGTGGGTTCTCGGAGCCATCTCTCCAGCCCCTACAGCATGACTTCTTAAAGACAAATGTCATATTTTCTCTAAGGCCACGAGTGCCATTGATTTTGAAAGAGAAAACACGCGTAGTTTCAAGGAATAAAGCCGCCGCCGCTACAGAAGCAAGCGTAGCCACTGCCAGCTGGCTTGAAGGCAGGGCATTTACCTCTGTATGGCGATGACTACCCTCACAGCAGTGCGGAACTTCGTGAAAGGACGTGATGTAGTTATTTTCTTATCTGCCTTGGAAGGAAATACCCCCAGATGAGCAATCATGGAGAGAGTTTCCTGTTCAGAGTCCTGGAATCCACCAATCAGCAGCAGGAGATACTTCTTTTGGTAAATGAGAGCTTTCCTAAAGCTCTCTGCTCTCAGATAGTGCAGGTACAGTTTCTCCATCTAATGGGAAGGCAGAGTGAGGATCAGGAAACGAAGACGCCTGCTCAGCGGACGCTGTTCCTGACAGAACCTGCTCAGTGCACCGGTACAGTTAGTTGTTCATCACAAAAAGAAACCAAACGGGACTGTAATTCACGTGACCAGTCACCATGCACATCTGTATCCGCCTCCTGAAGAGCCCGTCTATCAGACAAAATTGACAAAGAAATACCTTCTCCACAACACCCTCAAAAGTGAGCCCCCATGAAGACCACTAGATTTCCACTCAAGTACGGTCTAAACTGTCTCTGGCTCTCTCCCTCCCTCTCCCCCCACAACCCTGTGTGTGTGTGTGTGGGGGGGGTGAGTGAATATCATGATGGGTTCCACAGATGATACTGGAAAACTGTGAAACTACAGGATCCAAACCCTGACGAGCACTTTTCCCTCGGGAGCAAATCACAGGGAAGATTTTCTTAGCCTGTAAACACAATCTCCTGACAACTTGAACATGACACGTCCATTCCGTCATTAGAGAAAACATGGTGTCTGCATACAAGCAAACCAAGTTTTAGATGCAGATTTTGCAAACTCCCTTTTTCTCATAGTGATCTGGCAACTAGGGCAGCAGCTTCTATAAAGAATTATGTTTCATCTATACCAAGCAAACAAGACCTCGTAGTCAAGAAGACCCTTTCCCTGCAGTTAACTAGCCCTGGTTTAAGCCACGGTTGGCACTCTGAACTCTACTCTGCACGGCTTACCTTGGTATTGTACGTATTTGCTTCCATGCTTGTAGTTGCTGTGTGCCACTCTGGATCTGAGTTTCGTAGAGGACTCTGAGGAACCATCCCATCTTGCTTCCCCGAAGACTTGCTTTGCCTCTGAACAAAACAAACAAAAACCATAGCTGGCAACTATAGAGTTTTCTATTTGATGTGGGAGGGAAGCAGGTGTGTATCTGTAGGTGTAGGTCAGAAGTAAACCTTAGGTGTTGTTCCGCAGGTGCTATCAGCTGTTTTTAAAGGACAGGGTCTCTTACTGGGGCCTGGGGTTTACAAATTAGGCCGGGCTAGCTGGCCAGTTAGCCCCAGAGATCTCCAGGCTGTTTCCCCAGCACAGGGATAACAAGTGCACGTGCCACTACAATCTGTCTTTTGGCTTGCTCGTTTTGAGACACCATCTCACTACACAGCTCTTGTTAGCCTGGAACATGATATGGAGAGCCAGCTGGCCTCAAAACTGCCTGCCTCTGCCCCGAGTGCTGGGATCAAAGACGTGTGCCAGCATTCCTAGCTCACATCTGGCTGGGGCTAGAGCTCTGGGTCTCACGCTTGCACAGTAGCACTTTGCTAACTCTCTACCGAGTTGCTCTTAAATTGTAACACCCTGAGAAAGATGACCCAGAGAATGGAGGAGACAACAGCAGCTGCTCTGCCCATCGGAAAGAAAAAGAAACCTCGTTTCTACCATAGCTAGCTGAGGACTACTGTGGGGAACAGCCTATTGCCGATGAGAGTAGGGACTGGGAAAATGTCTCTCAAGGGCCAGGATCCAGTGAGGCATTGCTAGCCCATGATCACATGCCATGTGTTGTCCCTTGTCACATTGGGCACCATTTTTTGTAGAGCTCAAGTCATGTTATAAGGGTAACACTTCTGGGGCAATTATCATTCATTTGCTGAAATATTCCACAAAAGGTACACGTTAATAAGAATAAGCCAGAAACATCTGCAAAATACCTACTAATTCAAGGCTTTAAATCTTAAATAATCTTAATAGTTCCTCATTCTAGAAATGCCGGTTGCTAACAAGCACAAACACAGTTAGTTCTGTTCTAACTCCATTAAACCACACAAGAAAAGCCTAGTTGAATGGAACAATGTGAGAAAATTTATTTGGTTGTTTTTGGTTTTTTTTTATCTATCAAAAATAGTTAGCCCAACAAGGGCCCTCCCCTTCCACTTTGCATATCCATTAGCCAATTGTGTCAGAGTGTGAAGTTGAACTCCCACCAATGGGATGAGACACGGTTATCACCTATATGAGGGATAAAAGATGCCATTTGGGCTAAAGTGTTTGCATTCTGGCAAACATATCCTTTTTATTTATCCTTGCCAAATTACTTTTGCTTTGTTCCTTTGTGTGACACTGAGATTATTCATTTCTAAAAACAGGAATAACAATGGGCCAAGAGTGAGCAAAGGGGAACCTGTATAGCCACCACATGTCAAGGGCACAGACTTGCGAGGGTGACTCTGAGGCGATGGAACAGAGGTGCCCTCAAAAGTTGATGCCTGGGACCTGCCTGGTAGATAGGGATAGGAATCAAGGCAGCCAGTCATCATCATGCCAACACATGGCTCTCCAGGGGGAGTCAGAAGCCAAGGCAGGCCCGGATGAAGAAAAGGCAAAGACAGTATGATTTGTATGAAATGTCAAAGTCACTGCTAGAAAGGACTGCTGTGGCAAAGCCAGTCACCTTGAACCCAAAGAAGGTAGTCCACCAGTTCATTCACAGCCCCTCTTCAGTTTCCTCATCTCTACACTAACCTCCAGGACCAGGTGCTACCACCAACTGGGGCGAGAGCCCACAAAGCTCAGTGGGTTTCATCACTGTCCAGTAGATGGGACTTTTAGGAGAAACAAAGAGTTCAGTGGGACACTCTAAACAAGGAGCCTTAAAACACGCGCTGAAGCGAGAGGGCTCTGGACCGAGGTCTCATCCGCAACCAGGACTTCCTAGTCCCTCACACCTACTTACACTTCAACACACAGGTATAGGCAATGCTGTTCTGACTAGCAAGCACCTTGTAGCACAGGAAAAACAAAACAAAGTAATAACACTGGACAGAGAGGATCTCATGAAGTCAAAGTTTCTGTATTACCATGGAAACTTCAAATGAAGAGAAAGTGGAATCTCTGCCAGCGACAGATCCAAGATTAGTTCCAGAACAGACAAGGGACCCAAAAAACTAAACACTAAGAAAACAAAACATGGGTTAAGAACTAAACAAAAAATTCTCAAAAGAAATAGAAATGGCTGGGAAACACTTTAAAACTGTTCCACATCCTTAGCCTCAGGGAAATGCAGATTAAAGCCACTTTAAGGGCTGGAGAGATGGGCTCAGCAGTTAAGAGCACTGACTGTTCTTCCTGAGGTTCCGAGTTCAATTCCCAGCAACCACATGGTTGAGGCAGAAGGATCAGAAGTTCAAGGTCATTTGCAGATACATAGTGTCTGAAGCCAACCTGGGCTACCTGGGATTCTGCCTCCCGTCAAAAAAAAAAAAAAAAAAAAAAAAACACAACAAAGGTTTCTCCCCCCCCAAAAAAAAAAAAAAAAAAAAAAAAATCCAATCAATCAATCAATCAATCAATCAATCAAAACAAAATGAAACCCATCAAACTGGGTGTGGCAGCGTGCACCCGTGGGGAACAGAGTCAGGAGATACACTTAAGCCCAGGAGTTTGAGACAAGCCTGGGCAGCAGAGAAAGACCCTGGAATTCTGAGTCAGGCTGTACACTAGAAGGGACGGCGCCCATAGGGCCAGCCAGAAAAAGGTGCACAGAGGCCTCAGGTCTAGGCAGAGGCCAGCTCCCTGACGAGTAGAATGGACGGGTCTGACATAGCACGGTGTACAGAGACAGCGGGCAGAGACTATGCCAGGAAGAGACAAAAATCCTTACACTGAGAATGCAGCCCTTCTGCATGTGGTGTTTCAGGGTCTTCTCCAGCCGGGACACAGTCCTGCACAGCTCCGCTTTCTCTTGAGTCGCCATGCTGATGGCTTTTGTAAGGGTGTCGTTGTCTCTCAGCAGTTCATTCATGAGTTGGACGTGGAGCTCTGCAGCCATCTTTTTCTGGAAAAGGAGCAAACAAATTTATAAGAATTTTGTGTTTTAATATTACTGAGTGCTTCAGAGACTATAGTTTTAAGTTTAGAGTTTGATACCAGGCTTGTGGGACTGGGCATAGCAATATGGGGTAGGAAATTACAGGTCACCAGATCACATTTCTTTATAAAATAGACCCCTCAAAACTGGACTGGAAATATCTGGTACATAAAGTGATACAGGCCTGTTACTGATCTGGCTATTCTAAGAGTCCTATACCTAGGTGGCGAATAAAATAAGGAATATTGCTGTTCATGCTGAGGGGTGTAACCCGTGTGATTCACTTAGAATAGGCCTGTGCACTTCACAATTGGGACCTTTAGTCCTATATGGAGAAATTTTAGAACCTGCACCCAGAGGAGAGGCACAGGACTTAGCACATCTCCCTAGGACACTTGATGAGGGGGTGGTTGGATAACAGTAAGTGGTACAGCTTCTCTGTTATCTGGTAACATGCTATAATCAGAGTCATGGATCAGCAACAATGTCAACATCTAGGACACCTAGGACTGTGAGCCTCAAAGGCTACTCCCAGGAGCTTAGAGCATCCCAGGAAGACCTGCAATTGCACTCTAGCCCGAAGCAGAAGCAGACAGGAGACAGGCTGGGCCGTGAACAGGTTCCACTTTGCAGGCATCTGTCCTCAGCAAAAGACTAATGTCCACACAGTCTCTAGCTCTCAGGGTGCTCCTGAGTCATGTACAGTGAGCATCAAGTATAGATAATCACATGGTATGTCAGATGGTACGGCTGAGACCCCAGGATGTCAGAATCAGATGTTAAGACATAGAATACAGTGCACAGTGCACCCACAAGGACACACGGGGCAGATGGTTACTCACTTGCCCAGACAACAAGGGAGTAACAAACCACTGGTTAACAAACGAGCTATAAAGAAGCCATGGCATCCTCTACCAACTACCAGAAGACACCGTGGGCTGGGAGCTTAGTTTTAGCCCACCATCTAGACAGAGCAGATGTGCAGCATGGAGCAGCCTGACTGTACCTTAGAGGAGGCCGGAATGCTTAGTTCAGACTTCAGTTCCTCAAGGGTGCGCATTAAGGATGACACCGCCTTCTCGTTTGATGACGTCCAATCTTTAATTGTCCTAAGAAATCAAGCGGGTGTTTAGAGGGGTTTACGTATACCCCCAAATGATTACACTCCTAAGATGTTCAAGAACTCTCTTTTCCTGGCACAAAGAAAGTGCATTTGTGCAGCATTTCCTCTGAGAAACCCAGGGATCGAGCGCTGCACTTCTGTGTGGGCGATTCGTCATGCCAGTGAGTCCCTTCACTCAGAATCTTTGTGTCTAACGGTTGGCCTAGGGAGCACTCTTTTGACCAGAGTGCTGTGGAGGAAGACTGACTATCCCAGAAAACACACACATCTGTGAAACTCAGAAACCTTTAAACTTGAGCTGGCAGCGATGGCCAACTGCCCACATCCTGACATCCCACTGCTTCCTGCTGGGTTGGTAACTAAGGACAGATTTCCTGGACAGTAAGATGTCTCAGCATATAAAGGCACTTGCTGCCAAGCCTGACCCTTTGAGTTTGATCATTTGCTTGGTGGAAGGAGACAGACTTCAACAAGCTGTCCTTTGACCCCTAGACGCTCATCTACACAGACACACACGCACAAAATAAATAAATATAACAATAAAAAAAAACCCTTATATAAGTGCTGTCTAAATAAAACTGCCTGGAAATCATGCTGTTCAACGAATCGAATCCAGGTATGGACAGGGGGTTGTCCCAGCTGATAACAGCATCCCACCTCGGTGGGCACGGACAATGTAGGACAAGCTGAGGGAGCATCCAGGTCTGGGCAATCCACATCTGCATGTGTGTGCAAAAACAATTTCAGCACAACTGGAAACTATGAAAAACACTATTCCTATGAATATTTATTTGTTATGTATGCAGTGTTCTCCCTGCATGTATCCCTGCAGGCCAGGAGACGGATCTCATTATGGATGGTTGTGAGCCACCATGTGGGTGCTGGGATTTGAACTCAGGACTTCTGGAAAGAGCAGCCAGTGCTCTTAATCACTGAGCCATCTCTCCAGCCCTAATAACAAGGTGTTTTGTAACATTAGAATATAAAAATATGGTTTTATCAGCATCCTTTAGAAGATCTTGCCCATTGATTCAACTAAACTCATGGAATGAGAAATTGTGCGAGAGACCAGACTTGGTCCTGAAATCAAGAGCTGCCAAATACTTCATTTTTTTCACTTCATTTTTTTCCATATAGTTTTGCTATATGGACTTGTTAGCGTGGATGTAGACTAGGTCAGCCTTGTGGTGGTCCTCCAGTCTCTACCTTCCTGGTGTGGAAATTACAGGCACATGCCATTAGCTAAACTCCTGATTTTTTTTTAATATAAACATTCATGGAATGGGTGGGGGTGGGGTACTGGTGGTCACTGACTATCACCTGTGCATGCATACCTGTCCACAGTGTGGTTGGTGAAGCTTGTGAGGAGCCCCGCTGCACACAGTAGCTGTTGCCGGATCTTCTCCAGCTCTTGTTGCTGTTCCTGGACATGGTCCAGATCCAAAGAACCCAAGCGGGGGGAAACCCGGCAAGCGCCATCTCCCCCAGGAACCTTCTCTTTCCGCTTCAACTCTCTCACCATTTGCTGAAGCTGCTCGATTTTATGCTCATCACGCTGGCATTGTAATTCTAATTCTCGCTGTCACAATGGCAAGAAAAATGGAAAAGACCATTAGAGTTTTCCAAAAGAAACTGTTTGATGTTGGGCATGGTGGGGCGTGCCTATAGCCAGCACTTGGGAGGTAGAAGCAGGTAGATCATGAGTTGATGGCTTGCCTGGATGTACACAGTAGGTCTAACTAAGACCAACCAGAGCACAGTCAGACCTCAGCTCAAAACAAGGTAAGTCCTCAACAATTAACTGGCCAAAGACCAGCAATGGCATGTAGCACCTCACAGAGAAAACCCAACACAGATCAAGCACAGCACCTTTGAAGACGGTGTCTACACCTTCAACACAGTCAGGCAACCCCAACAGCACAGTCTACACTGCAGTCTCAGCTTAGTTAGGTTGTGGCCAAGTCCAAGGCCTATGAGACTGACACTGGCTGAACTTCATATTTATGCCTATATATACACATCCCAAGGCACAAGTCAGTAGGGAGTGACAATAACGTGTATATGACAAACCATGCCTGCCAATGCTGGGTGGCCCTGTGGCCTCAAGCCTGACTTAACTGGTCACCAACCTAGCCTTACGAAATGGAAGTGAGCAGTGCCACAGAACTGTAGAGATGCTAGCCCTCAGACTGGGTACAGGGCCAAGGGCAACCAATGGACCTGGACCCTCCCCTGACAAGGAGGTGAAGTCTAGTCACCAGGTGAGGTAAGGTGGAACAAAGGTGCCTCAGAGAAAGCCAAAAAGGCCTCAGAAAAGCCACAGCAGTAAAGCATTTATCTAATATATCACACAACACGGCCAATTCTCAGTGGTTCCAGAGGGCCTTTTGTGCGAAAGGTGTGAGTAGAACTGCAAGAGCAGACAGAACCAGAGATGAGCCTGCTTTGCTGGAGAGAGTTCAGAGTCAGACTTGAGGCCCACATAAGCTTTGGGGAGACTGGCTGCAGCGTCACACCCAGCATAGCTCACAGGAAACCAGCTTTCTGACATTGTTTCCGCCCCAAGAGCAAGCAGAGGTCCATCACTCTTAACCTCCCAGGTGAGAACAGCAAAGTACACATTGTTTAGAAAAAAGAGTATCCTGGCCTGTAATGTCCAGGCCAGGCTCTGGCAGTCAGGCTAGGAAACTGGTCTACAAGCCAACCACACTGATCCTCTGCAAAATAGGAACCTCCAGCAGGAGGTGCCTGGTCAAGATGTCCCGCCAGGAAACACTGTCCCTACATCAGGGAACATCCTCTTTGTATTTAATTACTTTCAAGCAACAGACATATCTTTCAGGTTCACGGGGGGGGGGGGGGGGGAGAAAATCAAAATGAAACAAAAAGTTTTCTGGAAAGTGAAAATGGCTTGGGGGGTTGGTTCTTGAAGGCAACCGCCTTTTAAGAATCACACTGGCTGGAGATACTCACCAAGGGGAGGGGGCTGGGGAAGGCAAAGGCAGCATAAATTCCCAGCTCTGGCTACATGCCGCATCCTTCAGGGCACCTCTGAGTCTGGCCTGAACACTGCACAATGGGCCACCTGCCTATACCTCTAAGACCATTCATGTTTTCTATTATGTGCACTGACAAAGAAACTGTAACTGTTGTAGATGGTGGTGTCTCTGTTGAAGTTTTGGACTTTTCTATTAAGAAAAGTTTTCATACTAATTTTGAGTGTGAGCATTAAAGTGTGCACCTGGAGGATTAAAAAAAAAAAAAAAAAAAAAAGACTAGTGAAATGTCTTAGAGCCATGGTTCTCAACCAGTGGGTCAAGACCTTTTTGCAGGGGTGGGGGGTGTGAACAATCCTTTCACAGGGGTTGCATACCAGACAGACTGAATATCAGATGTTTACATTATGATTCATAACAGTAGCAAAATTACAGTTATGAAGTAGCAGTGAAAGAATGTTATGGTTGGGGGTCACTACAACATGAAGAAGCATATTAGGGTCGCAGCATTAGGAAGGTTGAGAACCACTGGCTCAGAGGATAAAGTTGATGCCCATACAAGCCTGACACCTGAGTTCAACCCTCAGAACCCACATAAAGGTGGAAGGAGAGAACCAAGTCCACAAATTTATTCTTTGATCTCCATGTGCTTGGCATGGCATGAATATGTGTGTGCACGCACGCGCACACACACAACATACACTGAGAAAATAAAATTTTAATGTAGTGTATGTTCACTGTAAACCTCAAAGTCATCTGGACTCATAGGCCAATCACAAGAGTGTAAAAAGAGGTTCTACTTATACAAAGTGTCTCAAAGAGAATAATTCATAGAAAAAGAGAGATCAGAGACTCCCTGGGCTGGGCATGGGGAAAGGCAAGTGACTTCTCAACAAACACGGTCTCACTGGCGTGTCATCACTTTTCATAAATTTCCTAATTGCTCTGTCAGAGGGCATCAATTTAGGTTAGGGAACCTTCTCGTAGAATATTCAGCGATCCCCGATGAGCATTTACAAAGCTAATAATGTATTCTTCTGAACATCTAGAAATGAGCTAGCTTTGCTCATAAAAAACAAATGTGCCTTTCTTAATGACTAAAGACAAAGCCACTGGTTCTACACTTTAGTGCTAAAAGAAACAACAGCAAAAAACAGACAAAAGACAAAAAAGGGCCTTACTAGCATCTCTGTGAATTCAGTGCCAGCCTAGTCTACACAGTGAGTACCAGCCCAACCAACGTCACATAATGAGATCCTGTCTCAAAAAGACCCCCCAAAAAACAAATGAAAAGAGGGCCCTGATATATCACCTAGGCTGGTTTTGAATTTGTGATCTACTAACCTCAGTACCTGAGTGCTGGAATTAGACACTTGGGAAGCAGAAGTAGGTAGATCTCTGTGAGTCTGACGGCAGCCTGGTCTAAATAGCAAGTTCCAGGATAGCCAGGGCTACACAGAGAGACCCTATTTCAGGGAAAATAAATAAAATAAAAGGGAGAAAACTTCCCAGGCCAGACCACAAAGGCATTGTTACCCTGATCTAAACCCAAAGATAACATAAAACTAGAGGCTAATATCTTCTCTAAATACAGATGCAAAAATTCTAACCAGACAATAACAAACTGAATACAGCGGATAAACTAAGTTGTTCAACCTGCCCTGGTGGAGCTCTTCCAGGAATGACTGGCTGGTTCATCCGGTGTAAACCAATCACTGTAATATATTCTAGGGTAACTAAGAATCCACAAGAAGGACCCCAACTAAGACTCCTAGCAATAGTAGAATAGGTGAAGCCTGAACTGGCCTTCACCTATAATCAGATTGATGAAAACCCCAACTATCATCACAGAGCCTTCATCCAGTAGTTGATGGAACCAGACACAGAGATCCACAACCAAGAACCAGGCTGAGCTCCGGGAATCCAGTTGAAGAGAGGGAAGAGGAAATATATGAGCAAGGGAGGTCAAGATTATCTACAGAGACAGCTGAACCAAGCTCCTGGAAACTCATGAACTCTAGACCTACAACTGTGAAGACCCTAGGGGACTGAGTTAGGCCCTCTGTATGTATGTGGGAGACAGTTGTGAAGTTTGGATTATCAGAGAGACGTTGACAGTAGGACCATGATACAAACTTGGTACATGAGCTAGCTTGTTGAAGCCCATTCCTTAGGATGGGATGCCATGCTCAGTGGCAGTAGGACCACACTATAATCCCAGTACATGAGTAAGCTTGTTGGAGCCCACTCCCTATGGTGGGATGCCATGCTCAGTCAGCATAGGATAAGGGCCGGGCCCTGTCCCAACCTATTATGCCAGACTGTGTTGACTCCTCATGGGAGCCCTTACCGGTGAGGAGGAGTGGACTGGGGGTGGGCTGAGGAGGAGGCGAGGAGGGTGGGATGGGAGGGAATGTGGTTGGAATGTTAAAAAAAAATTGGGGGGGGCAGAAAAGAATAAAAAAGACTATTTTCAAATTCAAGACTTGCAGGGTGCCCAAAGCGCTGAGCAATACTTAGAACAGAGAGAGCCATCACACTTCTAACTTCAAAGCCTGTCACAAAGCTAGAGTGGCCCACACAGCATGGTGTCACCATGAAGAGGAACAGGAGGGAGGCCAGGAATGAGTGCAGGTGAGCGAGCGGTCATGACCTCGGGTCGTTAAGGACCTGTAAAGACTTATGATCTGCTGGAAGATTGCTCTCACCAGCTTCTCCTTGTCTGTCTGCCACTTCTTCTTTTCCACGTCTGTTCGGCTTGGCCTCCTCTCCATCCTCCTGGCTTCCTTGCGTCCTTCTTGCTCTTTCACTCTTGAGGATAACTGTTCTAATTCTGCCTGCAACCACGCTGATTTCTCCCTCTCTCTCTCCAGACAGCATCCCAGCTCCTGCCTGTGAGTCTGCAGGGCATCCACGGCTGACCTCAGGCTGCCACTTACCTCCTTCTCTTTCCTGAGCTCTACACAGCGCTCCTGAGCCTGAGACTCCAGTTGCTGTTGTGTATGTGCAGCCTCTTTCTTCACCTTTTCAAGCATGCTTTCCAGTTCCAGGGCACGTGCCTTCTCGGCTTTCAGCTTCCGCAATAAGGCATGCTGAATTTGTGTCTCTTGGCGCGCACAGGCTTCCTGCATGTTGCGGCTCAGCTGCTCCGTCAAGAGCCGCTCATGCTGTAAGGCCTCTGAAAGCTCGAGGGAGCGGCTCCTCTCGGCCTCTAGGCTCTTCTGCAGTTCAGAAAGCTGGCCCTTCTCCTGTGCCAGCAGGGCTTCACAGCGGGAGGACTCGATCTGCAGCTCCTTCTGCAGGTTGTCCTTGGCTGCACGCTCGTGTTTTAAAGCGACGCATAGTTGGTTATTTTGAGCACGCTGCTTCTCCAAAGACATTTTTAACTCCTATATTGATGGAGGAAACAAGATTGTGACGATGAATACCAAGAGGAAAAGGATCTGGATGGTTTTCTTACTTATACTTTCATTCAGAAATCATAATTTTCGAAAGTTATCCTTTGGGTAAAACCGTGCACAGGCCTGAATGGATGAATTACTATTGTGTGGGAGTAGTAACGAGGAAACATGTGCGCACATCTAATCAAGGAGGGTTCCTTTCTCCCTTTCCTAGAAATTCCAAAGCACCAGTATGCTCAAAGACACACCTGACATGTGTTGTTCAGAGTCACTGTAGCAAAAGACTGTGAGCTCTGGGCCACACGGTGAACATGGGGCACACAAACAGCCCATGCTTCACACTTATCCACTCTATGAGGATCACAAATGCTGTTCACCATCCGGATAGCAATAAGGAGGTTCTGTGACACTGGGTACATCGGCCACACTCCAGAGACTCTGTATTTGTGTGTGTGTGTGTGTGTGTGTTTTTGTTTTGTTGTGAGAGAAAGAACATGATGATGGGTGGGGGGGGTCTAATCAAAACATATTACATGAAATTCTCAAACATGAAATAGACACTTTAAAAAGCAAGTAAAAAATAAATGAAAATGCTCAAAGACCACAGCAGGGAACAACCAACAAGGCCATGGAACAGGCTGAATTCAGGCCATGGATTTGAAAGGGAGCAAACTGAAGTAGACGGGAGGGTTTCAAACAGAAGGGAAAGGGGAAATGACAATTATATTATAATCTCAAAAATAGATAAAAATATAGCCTTATTTTGTCTTAAATTCCTTTTACTTGGGCTGCCGTAAAGAAGAAGGAGAAAGCAGTCACCTCCAGGGCCCTGGAGCTCTGGCCTTCCCTCTGCAGGTGCCGCAGCTGTTGCTCCTCGTGCTGGGCCTGAAGGGCCCGCTCCTTTCCACGCTCACACTCCAGCTCCTGAAGTACACCCTTCAGTTCATTCTCCTTCCCGTCAAGCATGGCTCTGGGAGGGAAACAACGGGCAGCCATGAGCGCTGTGTAAGGGGAAGGTCCTGGCAGGGATCCCTCTCAGTATTCTCACATCTAAAGACAAAAGCTCCCACAGCACCGGCCAGCCGAAGGACATGAGTTGGACTACAGCATGACCCTACCAACAACAGTCACTTCTCAAGGCCATACCTGAGACGAAGGACTTCCTGCTGCACCTTGTCCAGGGACTCCAACAACCGCGTGTTCTCCTGCTTACACGCATGCAGCTCCGACTTCAAATCCTGTACTGCACTCTGCTCCACCATCAGGAGCTTCCGGACGTCACTGGCCTTCTCTTGCTCTTTGTTCAAGGTTTTCTGTAAGTCACTTGCTATGCACTTCTCCTGTTCAACTTTGTATGCCAACAGTTCAACTGAGAGAGATTAAAACATGAGACAGCATTACCCACAAATCCACAGTGCACCACACAAACCAAGTTAAACTATACATGATGTTGATTTGGTGAAGATGGGTTCCTGTGAGGGAGAAACTGTATTTCTGTGAACTGGAAGCCACTGTCTCTATGGGAGCCAAAGCCGTTCAGGGACATGTTCCTATGTCTTCTGAGACCATTTTACTTAGGTACTAATCTGGTCAGGACATGTCCCTGAGACCTATAGCATCAGCCAACCCTCTCCCACACATACCTACAGAGACAAGTCAAGGCCCACGTGGCTTCACTGAAAAATTCTCCCAGAACCTCTGGAAGAAACTAGCCTGGTTCTACATAGTCCTCTAAAATACAGGGGAAGGGAACACTGGTTCTTACAAGGCCAGGACTTTGCCAACAGAAGGTCAAAAAAAGAGTCCAAGACCACAGACCTGGGCTCTTGTAAACAGACAGACATGCACACACACATGAACCCGATTACCCGACAAAAACCAAACAAAAACAGAAATAACTGACCCACACAGAATGGAAAACAACTGAATGTCAGGAAGGTTGTCAGGCAAGGCCTGATCAATACAAGGGCCAGAAAGGAGAGATTCCATTTGTTCACAGATGCTGTCTATAAAAAAGTTCCTTAACGTATGTGAAAATATGTTGAATGTGAAAACCTACATAAAACAAGATCCTGAATTCCACTGAGAGATAGCAAGATTCTCAAACACTTGCACACACTCAGAGGAATTGGGCCTTTGCAGCTGAGGGTCTGGCCATCCCCACTTGCCTATCGAGTCCCAGGGAGACTGAGCAAGGGCAGGTGTGGGGCAAACTGCATGACGTGACAGGAACAGCGGCACCTACCTTGTCTTCGTAGCTGGTGCTCCCGCTGGCTCCCACGGGCCTCTGTGCTTGTCAGGGCTGCACACAACTGCTGCAGCTTCTCTTGGTTCTGCAGGTGTGTCATGCGGAGCTGGGCACGCAGAGCCTGAATCTCAGACAGCAAGCTGCTCCTGTCTGGCAGACACTGGACCTTCTGCAGGTCTCCCTGGAGGATGGGGAGAACAGATGAGGTGTGAATGCTGGATGGCAAGCACCCAGGTGAGGAGGAGAAAGCCAGGCACGTCTCATCCTGCACAGCTACATCCTTTCAAATCCAAGGTTCCAGCACTGTTGGAACAAGTTTGACGACGGTGTAAGGGTGAAACAGGTGCACAGTAGCCCAGGGCCTTACTCTAAGCCCTTTCCTGACAGTTCTGGGCCCAGTGTAGTACTGTATTAGCACCTCAACTTTTAAGTCAGGACTTCTCATCTGTAGGCAGTGACAAAATGTTAATGTGTCAGGTACGTCCAGGGGAGAAAGACTAAGGGAAGAATCCACCAAGCACACTAGTGCTTACTGAGGCAGGATATTTGACAACACTGTGAACCCTGAGATTATGTTATTTACTGGAAAAACCTGCTTCTTGCTGAGGTGTGGTCCAGCCCCAGCACACACCTTTAGTCCAAGAGCTTGGGAGGATTAAAAAGTCAGCAGTAGGTCAAGCTGGGCGGTGGTGGCACACACCTTTAATCCTAGCACTTGGGAGGCAGAGGCAGGCTGATCTCTGTGAGTTCAAGGCCAGCCTGGTCTACAAAGTGAGTTCCAGGACAGCGTCCAAAGCTACGGAGAAACCCTGTCTTGAAAAACCAAAAAAGGTCAACTGTAGGTCAAGAGGTGGAACAAGCAAAAAGTGAACAAGAAAACAATAGGGAGTAAGAGGGAGTCAGGAGGATGGAAAGAGACACACACAGGAAACAGAAGGGAGGGACACTGAGGTGGAGGAGTCAGCAGAAGAGGAAGGTTGGCTGGATGCTTTCCCCGCCTCTCTGAGTTAGCAGGATTTCACACCAGCATCCAGCTCCCGAGCCTTTATTGGTAAAAACCCGATTGAGATTTTGTTAAAAAAAAAAAAAAGCAACAAAAAACAAAAAAACAACTTACAAGTGAAAGCATGATATTACACAAGGTTTCCTTAGTTACCACATTCCAAAGTTTAGAAAAACTTTCCCTTACACCCTGCACAAGTTGGTAAAGCAAAGCCCAGTTTCAAGCCTGTTACTCACCTGCTCTTTAATAACCTTCTCCAGCCTCTTGAACAGGACATTATAATCTCCTAGATCTAAGCCATAGGGTCTAGACTGCAGCTCAGCGTTCTCCTGCTCTCTGGCAAACACTTCTTGTATTGCCCGCAAAAGCTCCCCACTCCATGTAAGGCATGTTTCCGAAGGTTCCTGTAAATGAGACACAAGAGACTCAGGGCTAGGCAGGGGTGCAGCCTCTTTGCCAGAGGCTGGCCCAGCATGTGAAAGGAGCTAGCTTTAAACTCTCATCCCCACCCAAACAAACAGTCTCTGTGCACTCACCAGTGTGCACCACAAGGGCTAAGAACTGAATGTGTCCCACAGATTCATATATTCAGTCCTAATTCCCAATGAAGAACCATACACTGTGACTAACTGGGATCACAAAGGGAGACTTCCTCTCATAACACCGCAGTTATCTTCTTAGGAGCAGAGACTTAAGAGTCCTCTCTCTGCTATAGGAGGAGGAAGCAACTGCAAACTGAGTACTCAACTCTCACCAGCCAGGCTGGAGTCTGATCTCACACACCCAGACTCCACACAGGTCAGAAAAAAACACCTATTGTCTGAGCCATTTAGTCTGTGGTGTTTTATCACGGTAGCTGAGGAGATGGAGAGTAGCATAAAATAGTCTGACTGAAGAGGTGGCATCAAAGTGCCTAGAATGACTCAGGATGTGAGAGGCAAATGCTATCCTCAAAATACCGATATCAGGGAGAGATGGCTCAGAGGTTAAGAGCACTGACTGCTCTTCTAGAGGTCCTGAGTTCAACTCCCAGCAACCACATGGTGGCTCACAACCATCCGTTATGAGATCTGGTGCTCTCTTCTGGTGTGCAGATATACATGGAAGCAGAATGTTGTATACATAATAAATAAATAAAATCTTTTAAAAAAAAATACCGATATCAGTTCTCTAAGAGTGCAGCCCCTGGTAAACAGACAACCAGCAGAAGACCACTATGGTCATTCATATGAAAATGCTCCCCCCCATAGACTCCTAGGGAGTGGCACTATTTGAAAGGGTTAGGATGTGTGGCTTTGTTGGAGGAAATATGTGGGGACTTGGCTTTGAGGCTTCAAATGTTCAAGCCAGGCCCACTGGCTCCTTCTCTTCCTAACTGCTGCTGATCTAGAGGTGGAACTCTAGGCTGCTTCTCCAGCACCATGTCTGCCTGCATGCCACCATGCTTCCTGCCATGATGACAATGGACTGAACCTCTGAACTGTGAGCCACCCCAATTAAATATTTTCCTTTATAAGAGTTGCTTGGTCATGGTGTCTCTTCACAGCAATAGTAACCCTGACTATAACAACCACACATCCAAGAATATTTGGGCAGAACAAATTTGTTGTAAAGAATACACACACACACACACACACACACACACACACACACACACACACACACACACACACACACACGGAAAAGAAAGGTAACATGAATCTGAAAAAGAGGGGTGGAGTGAATATGATCAAAACATGTATAAAATTCTCAAATAGTATTAATAAAATCTTAATACTAGTATTGGTGGCTGGAGAGATGGCTCTGTGGTAAAGTGCACCACACCAGATGTTCATAATTGTCTGTAACTCCAGTACCACTGAATCCAACGTCTGCCTCTTCTGGACTCTGTGAGCAGCAGGCACACATGTGGTGTACAAACATACATGCAAATACTCAGGCAGGAAAAATAAGTTAATTTTAAAAAATATCGATAATCAGGGGCAAGCAAGATGGCTCCCAGGGTAAAGGCTCTTGTGGCCAATCCTGATGACCTGAGTTCAACCCTCAGGAAACACATGGCAGAAGGAGAAAACCAACTCCCACCCACACTCTGATCAACACACACACACACACACACACACACACACACACACACACACACGGCATCCCCTCCCCACACAACAAATATTTTTGTTTTTTGGTGGTTTTTTGTTTTGTTTTAATATTGGTAGAAGTATTGAAGTGGCACAGAGCAAAACCTGGGTGTGGTGGTTTGAATCCACCATGTGTCCTCCATGGTCTAAGGCCATTTGAACACTTGGTCCCCAGCTGGTGGCGCTGTTTGGGGAGGTGTAGGAGAAAGTAGGGCACTAGGGCAGGCTTTGAGAGCAAAGAGCTTTACCCACAGTTTACTCTCTCTGCTTCATGCCTGCTTGAGACATGAGCTATCAGCTCCCTGCTCCTGCCACGCCGCCTCACCATAATGTACTTATCCCTCTGGGGCCACAGGCCAAATTAAACGTTTCCTTCTGTGGGTTGCCTTGGTTGCCATACTTGACCACAGCTACAGTAAAACAATTAATACAATGAGCAACTTTTGTTCCTTTTCTTCCTGCTGCTGCACCTGCTGAGCTCTGGTCTAAAAAGACCCAAAGCTATATGGAGCTGTCCTGCTGGGTATTTTGTGCTTCCTGGGGCTGTGGCCAGGGACAGGCATGGCTGATCAAAGACATGGCGGGTGGCACGACCACATTATGAGCAGGGCCTAGGTCTGTATGTAAGTCTGCCACTACGGGTGGCTCCTTCTTACTTACTGAAACAGCAATTTCCTACCTTCTCTCCTCTGTCAGCTGTCGCCTCCAAAAGGGCCTGCCTGTCCCTTGGGAGGCCATCCAGGGGGTCACGTGGTTCACCCTTGCTCAGTGAATTAGGGAGGTCTTGGTTCTTTGACAAGGCCAGTATCTGGTGGCTCTCATCAAATACCATCTGCAGCAAAGCCTATAGCAGGAAAAACACATCGGGAAGGGGGGGGATATATCAGCCCCAAACCATCATCCACACACTGAACTACCACCACCTCAATTCATTAACTTCAAATAAACAATTATTTTGTTAGGCTGCTTAAACAGACAACACTAAAAACCTCTCTACCATGTTTTGTACCATAAATAATTTGGAGAGACACAAAGAAACAAAGCTTAGATAAGTTATTCATGTGTGTGTGTGTGTGTGTGTGTGTGTGCGATTGAGCGCATGTGTGTGTGTGCGTGCATATGTGTGTGTGCATGTGCGTGCGTGTGTGCGCGTGCATGTGTGCATGTCTGTGCGTGTGCGTGCGTGCATGTGTGTGTGTGTGCACGCGCGCGCGCGTGCGTGTGTGTGCGCGTGCGTGTGTGTGCGTGCGTGCGTGCGTGCGAGCGTGCGTGCGTGCGTGTGTGTGTGTGCGTATGGAGACCAGAGGCTGATGACAAGTATGTTCCTCAATCACTCTTCACCTTATCTTTTAAAATTAGACTCTCTCACTGAACCTGGAGCTCACTTCAGGAACTTCAGCTACACTGGCTGGCCATTGCATCCCAAGGAACTCCTGCCACTGACTATCCATTGCTGAGATGACAGGCACAAGGTGCCCTGCACTGGCTTAAATGAGTGTTAGGATCACCCTCAGACCCTCATGCCATTGTGGAATTTCTGAATAATCTCCCCAGTCCCTTGGTTTCTACTCTGAAAGAAATAGTTTTACTTTGACATAATTTCAGAATTCTTAGTAACATTAAAATTGTTGTATTTACTGGTGGGTTTGGAGACATGGTTCAGCAATTAAGAGTGCTAATTGGTCTACTAGAAGACACAAATTCAATTCCCAGACACCTCACAACCATCTGCAGTTTTAATCCCAGGGGCTCTGACACCCTTTTATGGTCACCAAGGACAAGAGGTACTCAAGTGGTATACAAACAACACGCAGGCAATTCACAACCATCTGCAATAGGATATGATGCCCTCTTCTGGCATGCAAAACACCCATACACATAAAACAATTTGGACTGGAGAGATGGCTCAGAGGTTAAGAGCACCGACTGCTCTTCCAGAGGTCCTGAGTTCAACTCCCAGCAACCACATGGTGGCTCACAACCATCCGTTATGAGATCTGGTGCCCTCTTCTGGTGTGCAGATGTACATGGAAGCAGAATGTTGTATACATAATAACTAAATAAAATCTTTAAAAAAAAAATCTTGTTAAAAAAAAACAAACAAAACAAAACAAAAAACAATTTAACCTACAATCTCAGCACTAGACAGGCTGAGTTACAGGCCAGGCTGAGCTACACAATGAGACCATGTTACAAAAAAAAAAAAAAAAAAAAAAAAAAAAAAAAAAAAAAAAAAGAACCACCAAACAAACAAAACAAACCCCTTGTTTGGGGTACTTCTATTATTTGAGTAAGACACCATACTGTCATGATACCATTTAGTTACCTAGTCATGTTGACATCAATGTCTTTATCATAAATGGCATACTAGTTTAATGGCAGCAAGCAGCTTTTTCTCTCCCCAGAGCACAGACTCAACAAGCCAGTTATGAGACCCTCAAGGAAGAGGCTCCGAGGCCCTGACCTAGAAGGTGGCCTGCAGGTGGGACTCCATTACCGTAGTGGTTCAGGAGGAGTGTGCCCACCAAAGGGCTGGGGCTGACTATCTGAACAGGTACAGGTGTAATCCAGTCAGAAGAGACAGGCTTTTCATTCATCCTGAGCTGTCAGTGCTCTTGGACAAGAGCTCTTGGGCCTTACCTTCATATGCTTTGCATGGATTTCCTTCTCCTTCATTGCTCCTGGTGACTGGTCAAACCTTCTGGAGAAAGGTACAACAGCAGCAGCCACAGGGCTGCTGCGGGGAGTCTCAGATCCCCCTGAACCCAAAGTCAGCATCATACCACCACTTGGGCAATCGCCTAGGAACACATGGGGTCAGGAGTTAAACCACAACATCCATTTCCAAATCCAGTTACAGCCACTCACACTACATAAAACATCCACAAGTACCGGGTAGTCAACCAATTTCAGAAACCACGAGCAGGAGGAAGGAGAGTAACTAAGGAAAGCTTATGTTGCACGTTATGTGTCGTTTGTGACTTACTAAAGTTCAGGGTTATCTCAGCTCCTTACATGGGTGTACCTGCTCACCCTCACACTGACAACTACATCCCAGAAAGCCCTGAAGAGCAGCCAGACTATAACTAAGGTCTAGGTACTTCTCACCCAGCAAACCAGCAAAGGGACCAGGAATACAGCGGACAGGGGACCAGGCCTAGCGGAGGTGGGAGCAGCTGGATGGACTGCAGTGTCTGGTCTAGAAAGGTTAACTGTGTCTGGCTTGACATGAGATGAAGAAGGGACAACGCTGAACACAGTCCAGAACTTGCGGTTCCAAGCACCTAACAGTCGGGGGCTTTACAGACTCTTGGGAGCGTATAAGCTCGATCTTCAGGCCTACAGGCTACACTAGCCCAGGAAAGCCTCCAGGAACACGCTGGCCAGGGAGACACAGTAAGGGTCTGGTGCCCAGGGAGAGGATTCAGCACCCAGCCTATAGGGACGCAGCACTCCAGGCCTACAGACAGCAAAGGTAGCAGATCTCTACTTCAAGGAAGGTCAGTCTACGTTCTCAGACACTTAATGGAAATATTAACACCAAAATAAACTGGGAAGAAATAAAATGTAGCAACAAAAGGAAATCTTAACAAAAATAGCTAGTATGTACAGAGGAAGCCCAGACACTTTCTCAAGCATGAGGTGGGAAAACCAGAATGGACAGACAAGAACTCACAGTCTCGACATGCTAACACTCACGTGGACGGATACAAGTATACAGACCTCCAAAGTTGACAAGGGGAATTCAGTGCTACGTTTAGATACTATTTTAGTTTCATTTGATTTTGTGTTGTTTGAGAGGGGGTCTCGAACTCACAGAGATCCGCCTGCCTCTGCCTCCCAAGCACTAGGGTTAAAGGTGTGCACCACCAGGTCTGGCCAGATGCTCTTTTAAATAGCAAATTCGGAGGGAAGATAAATCAAACACTAATGCACAGATGTCCCCTGGGAGCGCTGAACCCAAGTTGGGGCCTGGACAGAAGTCACCTACGGAGTGTAACACCGACAACACTGACCAATCAACCGCTCAGGCCATATGCTCCAACTATATGTGTGTGTGTGTGCGTGCGTGTGCCTGTGCACATGCACTGTGCTGGGAACCCTGACTTCAAAACCACAGTAACATTCTTAGGACACAAACAGCAGCACAAGTCGGAGACAGTGCATTTGGACAGCAGGGAAGACAAGGAGGGAACCGTTCATACTTTCCTCAACTCTAAAAGCATGTGTACAGGTGCACGCACACACACACACACACACACACACACACAAACGCACGCAGGCACATACACATGCGCGCATACAGGCACACACACACAAACAATAAAAAAAAGAAAACACGACTGACTCACTTTTCCCAGTTGCATCACTTCTTGTTAATTCATGAGGGGATGTTGTTAACAGTTCTTGAGAATCAAAAGATGTTACGATAAAGTCTTCGACATCCTTCTCCTATTCAGACAGGCAGATTTTGAGATGGTCACAAAACAGTAAATAACAGACGGAAACACACTTGGATCAAAACATACCAGCTTCCCACACTCAGAGCACACAGTATGTTGGAGGTGCTGGCAACATCTGCTGCCAACAGCCCAGTGAGCACTGGGAAGGTTGTAAGAGATGGAGAAGTGGCTCAGCAAGTAAAGGCACTCACAGCCTGAGTAGGAACCATAGGACCCACATGGTAAAAAGAGAAAAACATTTCCCACGAGATGTTCTCTGACCCCCGTGTGACACACACACACACACACACACACACACACACACACACACACAGAGAGAGAGAGAGAGAGAGAGAGAGAGAGAGAGAGAGAGAGAGAGAGAGGCACACAATAAATAAAATGTAATTTTAAAAAACTTGAAAAAAAATAACCTTTATAAATAGCCACTAGCAAATTCCTCAGATCCTTAAAATTTGAGCATAAATGATAGTGTATGTATGTATCCCCCAAAGTATTTTCATACAAAAATATCTCAAAATGGAAAAATGTAATCAAACTAAAAAATAATAAATTGACGTGTTCTTAAAATTAACCAGTATTACGTGTATAACCATGCATTAAGCACATATGGAATATTACTATAAATAAATCCAGGGTGCTGGTGGTGCACGCCTTTAATCCCAGCACATGGGAGGCAGTGGCAGTTGGATCTCTGAGTTCAAGGCCCGGGATGTGGCTATGGCTTAGTCAGTAGTGTGTGCACTCCCATCTCCAGCATCCACATGAAAACCCAGTGGGTAGGTACAGAGCTATAACTGCAGCGCTTGGAAGGTGGAGACAGAAGAGTCCTGTGGCTTGCTAGCCACCCAGTATAGCCCAAACAGCAAGCTCTGGTTCTGTAAGAGGCACCATCTCAAAAGAAGGTAGACAGCAACTGAGGAAGAAGATACCACGGCATTGACCTCTGGCCTCTACGTGCATGCATACACACAAAATCTACATTTCAGGCAGAGTCCTTATGTAAATTACACAAGAATTGCCGGGCCATTGGTGGCGCATGCCTTTAACCCCAGCACTTGGGAGGCAGAGGCAGGCGGATCTCTGTGAGTTCCAAGCCAGCCTGGTCTACAGAGCAAGATCCAGGACAGCCTCCAAAGCAATACAGAGAAAACCTGTCTTGAAAAACCCAAAAAAAAAAAAAAAAAAAAGCCACAAGAATTATGACTGTGAGCCGGGCGTTGGTGGCGCACGCCTTTAATCCCAGCACTCGGGAGGCAGAGGCAGGCGGATCTCTTGTGAGTTCGAGGCCAGCCTGGTCTCCACAGCGAGTGCCAGGGTAGGCTCCAAAGCTACACAGAGAAACCCTGTCTCGAAAAACCAAAAAAAAAAAAGAAAAAAAAAAGAAGGAAAAAAAAAAGAATTATGACTGTGTTACTCAGAATCAACCTGAGTTAAGGCACGCCACGTAAATTTTTGAGGATGACAATTAACCCTCATGTTTCACATATGACAAAAATGATCTAAATGTCCCTACAAATAGTCAGGTGTAGGACTGATTTCTTATGGGAGTCCAGGCTCCTCAGCAACTATGAGGCACCTACAGTCAGATGAGCCAATAATAGCCTGGCTGTGATGCATCCCTACGAAAACACTGACCACCCACAAAGGCTACCACAGGGAGTGAGGGGAGACACCTACCGTAGCTGGCCTCTCCACATGGTGGTTCTCAGCCGAAGGAGTCACCACCCACAGCGGGGCCTGTGCTGTTGCTGACTTGCCCGGGTAACAAAGCAACCCTGACGCATCGGCCAGCTGCAGTGAGTCTGTCCAGTCTTGGGAGGAGGTGTCCACACTGTGCAGGCTCACTGTGCCTGTGCAGGGTGTCAGGGGGAGGCTGTGCTGGGGCTCGGGGGTTGAGTCCTTCCGGAGGACCTCGGGGGAGCTCCAGGAAGACAGGTCCAATGCCCTCGCTGGGTCCTTCTGGGGCTCAGCCTCCTCAGGGTGGAGGGAGTCACTGTGCACGCTGACTTGCGAGGAAAGAGATCCACCTTGTGGTGTTAATGGTTCCTGAGTGGGAAAACTTGGCATTTCAACTTGGGCCAACAAATCCTGATTTTTAATGACGTCAATTACATCCCATGTGGTTTTACCAATACTAAATACATCAATGGGAAGTGATGCACTGATGTCTTCGTCATTATGACAGTCACTGCTTGAACCATTTTCTGACAGGCTTGGCCGCTCTGACTTGGGGTTTTCCATGCTGGTGTCCCTAGAGGCCATGGAATGCACCAAGTGGTTCAGTTTCTCCTGCAGTTGTTGCACCTGGATGATGAGATCCCCACTGCCCAGCTGACAATCTTCCAGCTGCTGCTCCTTAGCCTGAGACGAAAGAGAACGCGCAAACTGAAGCGGCTGAGCTACTATATGCGCGCCATTATTTCTCTAGTGTTCCTGAACTATTTTCAGAGAAGGAGCACCTACGGGTGGGATCCATGAGGAACCCTCCAGACACGTAAGATGTCAAGCTTATTTAATGAAAACCAGAATTAAAACTTAATTTTTTTTCCCTAAATGAAAAGTATCATAAGCAAGGCTGTGATAATTTACTCAGGACTCAAGGTATTTTTGCTTTTTGTTTTTTTTTTTTTCTTTTTCTTTTGTTTTGAGAAAAAAGGGAACTAGGAGGTTCTAAATCAAAACACTGGAAAACAGAAAAATGTAATTGCTACAATGAGTGCAGAGCTCCTCATCAGCACGCACGAGGCACAGATGAAGGCAGTCAGAGCACACGGAGCCTGCTGCAAGAAGCTGGCCAGAGTTTCTGCACACAGAGTGTGTCCCCTGAGGGTTCAAAGGACCCTCTCAGAATCCCAGCCCAGGCCCAGGTCCTGCTCTTAGCCTGGGTCCAGCCAATGTAGAACTCCAAACCTTGTGTGTTCTGAGACCCAAATGTGCTCGTAACCCAAGCAGGAGTGGTGCAAGAGCTCTGGGCCTCCACCTTGGAGCAATGCGCTCAGCACTCAGGCCAGAGGCGCCATCACAGACTTCAAGGCTTCCAGTGCCACACATAATGACAACAACCAGCTTCAGGAGCCTGCAAGTGGCTAAGGAGTTGTGGCCTGTTTTGTACCATCTGTGAGGAGGCCACAGGTATGCGCTCATCAGGAGGGAGTTCTAATACAGGCACTGGTGGAGAACAGGGAGCAGCATCTACCTGAAGGCAGATCCAAGGCGAGGGCTGCTGGACCCCTCAGTAACTCTGGACCCTGAGACAATCCACGCTTCCCCTAAGGGCCCTACTTTTCCAGAGTAAAAAGTGACCTTTCATAGAGCAAAAGATGTGGGGGTGAGGGGTGGGGGTGCGGATGGGACAAGGATAAAAAACTAATCTCAAGACTTTCAAAGTTGGAGAAACACTGGCAGGGACAACGGGAATGGATCATGGTAAGAATCTCAAGGATGAGCTGGGCGTTGGTGGCGCACACCTTTAATCCCAGCTCTTGGGAGGCAGAGGCAGGCGGATCTCTGTGAGTTTGAGACCAGCCTGGTGTACAGAGTGAGTTCCAGGACAGGCTCCAAAACAAGAGAGAGAAACCCTGTCTCGAAAAACCAAAAATAAATAAATAAATAAATAATCTCAAGGATGGAAGGTGGGGCAATTTGGTCTTCACATGAAAAACATCTACTCAGACTATAGGAAAAGTGTATCTTTAAATAAAGTATTACTATAACAGGGTATATAGACTCAGAGGTGATTCTACTATATGGATGTAGTCTGGGGATACTCTCACCTTGGCTAAGCAACCGTCTGTCTTGATATACCCCCACGTGCTGAGCCTCGCCCAACCAAGAACAGGCCGGCCCAGTGTACCTTCTCCCAAACCAACAGACACCAACACCGCCAGCAAGCCCACACACCTGCATCCCTTTGGGAACCTCCCTGTCATTCTCCATGTCCAAGCGCATAGCATTTTTCATTAAAAGCATCTCCGCCTCCAGCCGCCTCTGGCAGACCTCGAGCACGGACATCACACTTTCGGTTTTGTGGAGACTGGCATCCTTGAGTGTCACAAGGACTTTGGCAGGCTGTAGATTGTCCTTGACCAGAGGAAACACAGAGAGCTTTAAAGCTAGAGCTGGGTTAGTCAGGGACTGAGGTGTGGCCTGGCTGCCTCCCACGCCACCTGGGCACTAGAGACACAGCCACAAGCAGAGGCACCAAAAGCAAAGTGTTTCTGACCCTCAGGTGGGAAGGCACCTGTGGTAGGAACCACAGAGAAGAGCAGCTGGGAAAGCAGCAGATGGAAGCAGTAGTCAGGCAGCTAATTCTGAAAGTGTTCAACTCAAAATCAAACTGGAAATGAATATGTTACCCCCTCTCCCCTCGTGTGCACGAGAAAGAGAGAGAGAGAGAGAGAGAGAGAGAGAGAGAGAGAGAGAGGAACTGAAATATCACCTTCTGCCAGCATGCAACCCTGAGCTAATAACCATTTTGTTGTTGTTGTTTTGTTTTCTGAGATGTGGTTTCTCTGTGTAGCTCTGGCTGTCCTGGAACTCACTCTGTAGACCAGGCTGGCCTCGAACTCAGAGATCCGCCTGCCTCTGTCTCCCAAGTGCTGGACTAAAGGAGTGAGCCACCATCTAAAAGGCAGCCTTCTGTTCCAAAATGAAATGAGTTTAAAATGGAAATGGTTTTCCATGGAGTAGGATTATTAAAAACAAAAATTTTGTTTGGAGAACACACACAAAACCCTGCGAAATTAATGCCAAGAGACCTCTGAATCACTATACATAGTACCCAGAACTTTAAAAGAACTGTTTTAAAAAAAGCTTAACTGATTTAAAATGCTAATGATTTTAAAGCTCTACAAAATAAAGACCCCAGTAGGACTTACTAGGGGAACCCGTGGGCCCAGGTGACACAAACTCCAGGCTCTCATCTCTGCCCTGTCAGAGGCACTAATGACAGCAGCAGCCCAATGTCCAGGATAAAAGGATGTCACTCAAAAAGGCAGAAGCAATGGGAGACAATGACGACAACCCTGCCTGGCCCCAGGGCACCCACACCCCCAGTTTAGAAACGGAAGGCTACCTTCTGTAGCCCCCAGTGATGAAGGCCCACCTGTGGCGCCGAGGCCAGCCCCATACTGACACTGTCCTGTTGCCACTGACCACGTGCAGCCTGTGCATCTGCACCAGGGGACGAGCAGTCAGCAGGTGCTACCGGAGCCTGCTGCTGGTCCGGCTCCATCTGGCACTGCAGGAAACGATGGTGCAGCACCTGCAGCTGGTGGCTGAGGCGAGCACACTGTATTCGCAGCTGCTGTAGCTCAGGAGGCTCGTCTGAGGTGGCCAAGGTCTGCTGTTCCAGAGCACGACGGAAGTGGGCCAAAGGCAAAAGGATGGTCTCCAGCTCAAGGGAATGGGTCGCTTTCCACTTGTTCATGCTGTCAATTTCTAGATCTCTCTGTACAATGATTGCTTCCTTTGCCTTCAGGAGAGCTTCAAATTCTTGGATCCGGGAGGCCATGCCTTCAACCTCAGCCTCTCTGAGGGCCACACAATGTTCTAGTTCAGCCAAGCGCTTTGCTGCAACAACCTCTGCGTCTTGTAGACGCTGCTGCAATGCCTCCAGGACTTGGCTATGTCCGTGTGCCTGGTCTGCCAGAAGCTGGCCAAACACCTCCTTGGCTGCCTGTGCTGCTTCCAGCTCATTCCATAGCGCCTGTCCATGCTGGCCTTCTGCACGGAGGCAGGACAGCTCAGTGTGGAGACTGCTAGCCTGATGATCACTGAGTTCATGCACCTTGGGCCCCATGAGGGTCAGCTCACTCTGCAGCTTCTCGATGACTTCATGGAGTTGTTCAATTTCTTCTGCTTTATCCTTCTGTAATTGTTCTTGGTTTTCCCGCAAATTTTCGATGATGGCTTTCAGCTCTTCAATCTCAGAGTTTCTACTGGGTACAACCTAAAGAGGAAGCATGTGTCATAAGTAGTCACTAATGAATTAGCCT